GTGGTCCGAGCAGATGGGCTCCGAGGATCGCCCCGCCTCGTCGATGCACCGACGATGCATCGGCGATGCGTCGGCGGCACATCGGCGACGCCAACGCGGAGAAAATCGGGCTCCACATCTGCGAAGCGGGTGTTTATCTGTAAGGGCTTCGCCCCCTGCAGCCGGCCCCCTCTCTATCATAATGGGATCTGTCAGAATCGCGTCGGTGCGTCTCGGCGCTGCCGTGGCACAGCTGGGAACATCATGTGGGGCCGCATAGGAATCATCAATGCATGTTGAGACGTTGGCATTATCGCAGACGCCTACGGCGAATCACCGCCGCCCCCTGCCTTTTGGAATCGCAATGTGGCCGAGCGTTTTGGCAAGAGCTCTGCCAAGCTATCGGGCCATGTGTTCCCCCAATCCTTGCAGAAACCCTTCGGGGAACACTTAGGGAAGGATGGCGGGGACGATCAGAAGGAGGAAGAGGAGGAGGAGGCGGGGGAGGAGGAGGAGGAGGAAGAGGAGGAGGGGGCATCTTGGGAGCCTCTGGGGGCACTCCTGGGGCCTCCTTGGAGCTTCCTGGGAGCCTCTTGGAAGTACCTTGGGGGCCTCCTTGGGCATCTTGGGAACCGTTGGGTGCTTCTCGCGGGCCACTTTAGCCGTCTTAGGGGCCTCTCTGGGCCGACTTGGGGCCCTCTTGGGGTGCTCCAGGGCCATCTTGGAGGCAACCTTGGGCGCCCTCGAAACCTCTTGGGCCGTCCTGGGGCCCCATGGGGCCGTCTTCGGGGCCTCTTGGGCCGTTTTGGGGTCATCTTGGAAGGCCCCGTGGGCATCTTAGGGCGATCTTTGGGGGCTCTTGGGCCGCCTCAGGCCGTCGGATGATCGAAACGAAGCAAATGCTCAAATCCTTCAAACATCTCAGGGACATCAATGATTTTTGCCTTTTCGGGCCTTCCTGGAGGCCCTCTTTGGGGCCGCTGGGGCCGTCTTAGGGACCTCTTGGGGGCCTCTTGGGCCATCTTGGAGCCATCTTGGTCCGTCTTGGTGGCCTTCTGGTCCCTCGGACGCTGTCGGAAGCTGTCTTGAGGGCCTTTCTGGGCCGATTTGGGGCCCTCTTGGGGTGCTCCAAAAGCGTCTTTGAATTCATCTTTGGGTATAGATCACCGGGGGCCTTGGCTACCCTAGGCCCTACCCAAGGCCCTAGGCTTCCCAAGGGTAGGCCCTACCCAAGGCCCTAGGCTTCCCAAGGGTAGGCCCTACCCAAGGCCCTAGGCTTCCCAAGGGTAGGCCCTACCCAAGGCCCTAGGCTTCCCAAGGGTAGGCCCTACCCAAGGCCCTAGGCTTCCCAAAGGCCCTAGGCCCTTCCCAAGGGTAGGCCCTACCCAAGGCCCTAGGCTTCCCAAGGGTAGGCCCTACCCAAGGCCCTAGGCTTCCCAAGGGGTAGCCCTAGGGTAGCCCTAGGGGTGGGCCCCAGGGGTAGCCCCAGGGTAGCCCTAGGGGTAGGCCCTAGGGGTAACCCTTTATTGCGGATTACAATATGATTCCTTTGGTCGGGCGGGCGGGCGGGACATTAATAGCATTGGTTGCCTTGGTGGCGGATTACATATATTGATTCCCTGTGTGGTGGATTATCAACTGATTATTCTTGTCGGGCGGGCGGGCGGGACACTAAAGGCATTGATTGCATGTGTGGCGGGTGGCGCACTGATTCTTATTGTGGCAGATTACACATTGATTCCTTTTGTCGGGCGGGCGGGCGGGACATTAAAGGCAATGATTGCTTGTGTGGCGAATTACGAATGGATTCTCTTTTATTGCGGATTACAAACTGATTCCTTTGGTCGGGCGGGCGGGCGGGACATTAAAAGCATTGGTTGCTTTGGTGGCGGATTACAAAGTGATTCCATGTGGCATCGGGTTACAAGTTGATTACTATTGTGGCGGATTACAAGCTGATTCTTTTGGTCGGGCGGGCGGGCGGGACATTAAAGGCATTGCTTGCTTTGCTGGCGGATTACATATTGATGCCCTTTGTGGCGGAGTGGGAGTGGAAGAGGAGGAGAAGGGGGAGGAGGAGCAGGAGGGGGAGGCGGAGGGCGACGATGACGACGATGACGACGACGACGACGACGACGACGACTGTCTGGGCCTGGAGCGTGCCCGGCGGGGCGCGCCTTCCTGAGCGCACGCCGACGCGAGGGAGACGCCGAGGACCGACGAAGACCTGCTCGGCCCTCGGTCTTCGAGGGGGTCTGGGCTTGGGCCCCCCTCCTCCTCCTCCTCCCCCTCCCCCTCCTCCATCCTCCTCCTCCTCCTCCCCCTCCTCCTCCTCCCTCCCCTCCCCTCCTCCTCCTCCTCCTCTCCTCCTCCTCCTCCTCCTCCTCCTCCTCCCCCTCCTCTTTCTTCTCCTCCTCCTCCTCCTCCTCCTCCTTTTCGTTTCTTTTTCCAAATCCCTCCCATCCGCCCTCCTCCCTCCTCCTCCTGCCTCCTCTTCCCTCCTCCTCCTCCTCCCTCCCTCCTCCTCCTCCCTCCTCCGTCTCGCCGGCCGAGCCGAGCCGGCGCGGGGCCGGCCGGACCGGAGAGCGACCACGGCGCCAACGACGGACGTCCTCCTCCTCCTCCTCCTCCTTCTCCTCTCCTCCTCCTCCTCCTCTCCTCCTCCTCCTCCTCCTCCTCCTCGGTACTCCTCCCCCTCATCCTCGTGCTTCTCCTCCGGCAAAGGCGGCCCTAGGGGTAGGCCCAAGGGGTAGCCCTAGGGTAGCCCTAGGGGTAGGCCCTAGCCCTAGGGTAGCCCTAGGGTAGACCCTAGGGGTAGGCCTAGGGTAGCCCTAGGGGTAGGCCCTAGGGGTAGGCCTAGGGTAGCCCTAGGGGTAGGCCCTAGGGGTAGGCCTAGGGTAGCCCTAGGGGTAGGCCCTAGGGGTAGCCCTAGGGTAGCCCTAGGGGTAGGCCCTAGGGGCCCTAGGGGTAGCCCTAGGGTAGCCCTAGGGATAGACCCTAGGGGTAGGCCTAGGGTAGCCCTAGGGGTAGGCCCTAGGGGTAGGCCTAGGGTAGCCCTAGGGGTAGGCCCTAGGGGTAGGCCTAGGGTAGCCCTAGGGGTAGACCCTAGGGGTAGGCCTAGGGTAGCCCTTCCTTGGGTAATCTATAAGCATCTTTGGCGTCTTGGGGGCCTCCTGGGCCGTCTTGGTGCCCTCTTGGGACCGTCTTGGGGGCCTCTTGGGCCGTTCTGTGGCCCTCTTGGAGGCCTCTTGGGCGATCTTGGGGCGACTTTTGGGGACTCGTGGGCCGTCTCGGGCCGTCGGAAAGCCGAACAGAAGCAAATGCCCAAATCCTTCAAGCACCTTCGGATAATCTAAGATTTTGGCCTCTTCGGGCCTTCCTGGAGGACCTCATGGAGGCCTGTGGGGCCGTCTTGGAGACCTCTTGGGGGCCTCTTGGGCTGTCTTGGGCCATCTTGGAGCCATCTTGGTCCGTCTTGGTGGCCTCCTGGCCCCTCGGACGCCGTCGGAAGCCGTCTTGAGGGCCTCTCTGGGCCGACTTGGGGCCCTCTTGGGGAGCTCCAGCGCAGTCTTGGAAGCCATCTTGGGCGTTTTGGAGGCCTCCTGGGCCTTCTTGGGGCACTGTTGGGGCAATCTTGGGGGCCTCTTGGGCCGTTTTGGGGCCCTCTTGGGGCGATTTTTGGTGGCTCTTGGGCCGTCTCGGGCCGTCGGAAGACCGAAGAGAAACACATTCCGACAATCCAAAAACCGTTGGAACATCAATGATTTTGGCCTCTTCGGGCTTTCATGGAGAACCTCTTGAGTGCCTCCTTGGCAGTCTTGGGGGCCTCTTGGGAGCCTCTAGAGCAATCTTGGGCCATCTTGAGGCTATCTTAGACCGTCTTGGGTGCATCTTGGGCCGTCTTGGAGGCATCTTCGGGCCATCTTGGCCGTCTTGGAGGGCATCCTGGCTGTCTTGGAGGCATCTTGGAGGTTATCTTGGGCCATCGCGGCCGTCTTGGGGGATCTTGTTTGGCACATTCCGCGCCTTCTGGTCTCTTCCGGGTGGCCGGCGGGACGGGCCGAAGCCCAAGGGGAGAGTTCTTTTGGAAAAAACAAAAAACCAAGAGCGATAGGATTCAGCACGCCAAGCACCCCTGTGGCACGCCAGCAGGGGGCGGCGGATCGAAGCAAATCACCGCCGCCCCCTGCCTTTTTGGGAGCGCCTCTGTGGCCGAACGTTGAGGCCAGACCTGTCAAGTTATCAGAACATGTGTTCCCCGAGTCGGTTTGGAAAGCCTTCGGGGAACACACGGGCATCTTGTAGGTCATCTTGGCCGCCTGGGCCTCCAACACGCCCAAGATGGCCTCCAAGACGCCCAAGATTGCCTCCAAGACGGCCCCGAAGCGCCCCAAGAAGGCCCCAAGTCGGCCCAGAACGGCCCCCAAGACGGCTCCCGACGGCGTCAGACGTGCCAGGAACCCACCAAGATGGCCGAAGTTGGCTCGAAGCTGGCCCAAGAGGCCTCCAAGAGGGAGGCCAGAAGATGCCAAAAACATTGAGTTTCCTACGGCTTTTGACGGATTTTGACATTTGCTTCTTTTCGGCCTTCCGACGGCCCAAGACAGACGGCCCAAGAGCCCTCAAAGATCGCCCAAGAGGCCTCCAAGATGGCCCCAGAACGGCCCAAGAGGGCCCCAAGACGGCCCCAATAGGCCCCCAAGACGGCACAGCAGGCCTCTAAGACGCCCAAGATGGTCTCCAAGACGGCCCTGGAACATTCCAAGAAGGCCCCAAATCGGCCCACAGAGGCCCCCCAAACGGCTTCCGACGGACCAGGAGCCCACCAAGACTGCCGAACATGGCCCTAAGATAGCCCAAGACGGCCCAAGAGGCCTCCAAAAGGGCCTCCAGAAAGGCCCGAAAAGGCCAACCTCATTGATTTCCCATGGGTTGTTGAAGGATTGTGGCATTTGCTTTTTTCTGCCTTCCGACTGCCCGAGGCTGCCCAAATGCCCCCAAATATCGCCCAAGAGGCCCACTCAAGATGGCCTCCAAGACGGCCCAAGAGCCCTCCAAGATGTCCTCCAAGAAGGCCCGAAAGGGTCAAACTGGCCTCCAGACAGCCAAAATGACCTTCAAGATGCCCACGTGTTCCCCGAAAGCTTTCCAAACCGATTCGGGGAACACATGGTCCGATAGCTTGGCAGGTCTGGCCTCAACGTTCGGCCACATAGGCGCTTCCAAAAAGGCTGTGGGCGGCGGTGATTCGCCGCAGGCGTCTTCGATTCTTTGGGGAAAAATGCCAAAACCAAGACCGAAATAGTCTAGCACGCCAGGACCCCCCCCCGATGAATCGACAAAGGGCGGCGGATCTTAGTGGCCTTCGTCGGCCCATCCTGCCACCGTGCTTGAGTTGTGGGTCTGAGGCCTCTTGTACATGCGTTGGGGCGTCGTGGGGAGCCTTTCTGGGGCCTCTTGGAGGCGGTTTGGGCGCCTCTTGGGGCCTCGTGGGGTATATTTTGGGCCTCTTGGAGGCCTCTGGGGCGCGTCTTGGGCGCCTCTTGGGGCCTCTTGGCGGCCTCTGGGGCGCGTCTTGGGCGCCTCTTGGGGCCTCTTGGCGGCCTCTTGGGCCTCCTGGGGGCTTCTCGGGGCACAAACACTCAATGTTCGGTTAATGGTCCCCTGCTTGGGTCCCTCTTGGGCCCCTCTTGGGGCCGTCTTGGGCGCTTCCTAGGCAATCTTGGAGCCCTCTTGAGCCGTCTTGGGACCTTCTTGGAGCCCTCTTCAGCTGTCTTGGAACGGTCTTGGGAGCTTCTTGAGCCGTCTTGGAGCGTGGGAAAGCCGAAGATACGAAAAGGCCAACATCCTTCAAAAACCTATGTAACATCTGCGATTTGGGCCCTCGGGAGGCCTCTTGCAGCGCTCTTGGGGCCTCTTGGGGCCCTCTTGGAACCATCTTCAGGCGCCTTGGAGTACTCTTGGCCTCGGCAACGCGAATACGGTGTTAAATTGCAAAGGTTTATGGCCTCGGGCACACGAGTATTGCGTAAGTTCAAAGGGTTTGTTGCCTCGGGAACGCAACAATTGTATACTTTGCGAGGATTGATGGCTTCGGGGACTCGAATGTGGCGTACTCTACGAAGGATTATGGCCTCGGGGGCACGAATCTCATGTATTTTTACGTGCCCCCCCCTCGGGAATTCAGGCAACGCGATCCCGTGGTAAAATGCTGGTTTGGGGCTCCCCCGCCTCGCGCGGACTTCAACCATTTACAAATAGGAAGCAGAAAACAGTACTGTGACATGGGAGATTTGAAACTGCAACTGGCGCAGGGAGCAACAACTTCGGCCTACAGCCTGGTGGCCCCACAAGGGGGCCGGCGGATCTATATCCACAGCCTGGGAACCGACGTCCTGGTGCCCCAGCGGGCGGTGGATATGGACATGTTTTGGCCCCCGGGGGGCCAGAATACATCCATATCCACTGCCTGTGGAGGCCAGCGAAGATCGATCCCCCAGGCGGTGGTTGTGGATAAATCCCCGCCTCGGAACATCGAGCCGCATCGCCGATGCATCGGATCCCATCACAGAGGCCTGGAGCTCAGGCTGCGACGGAGCATCGTTTCGACCCCCATTCCCAACGGCGCGGCCTGGGCCCCATTGGCCGATTTACCCCCTTAGATGTGGATATGGGCCGCTTCCTTCGGATCTCGAGGGGCAGATCCCCAACTGGGGGTGAGATGGTGGGTGGTCGTGGACCCACTTGTTTTTCTGGATTTTTCGTTTTGACCCTACTGTTCCGCCGGGCGAGCACCGAGACTTCATTCTCGAAATCTCGTTGAACCGTTCGGGTACCGTTCCCCAGATTATACATTGCATGATGTTCTGGGCGCTGTGCGTCTCTACAACATCCTTCCAGAGGGGATGGGGATAGGGATCGGCTATTGGCGGTGCGCAGAGGGGGGGTCAACAGGAGGGATAGGGCTTTTTAGAAGGAGGCTGCTCCTTAGGAGGTGCCGGCCTACTGTCAACTTGTGATTAACATAAGGTCAACTCCCGCCCCCCCCCCCCGGGGCTGATGATTAGACCTTGCGGGGCGCGATACTTTCTTTAATCACGCGCGCCAGGGGGAAGGAGGAGAGAGGAGGGGGAGGGGGGAGAAGGAGGAGAAGGAGGAGGACGAGGAAGAGGAGGAGGAGAGGGAGGAGGAGGAGGAGGCGGAGGAGGAGGAGGAGGAGGACGAGGACGAGGAGGAGGAGGAGGAGGAGGAGGAGGGCGAGGAGGAGCAGACGGTGGAGGAGGAGGAAGAGGAGGAGGGGCCAGGAGTGGCAAGAGGGTGAGGAAGACGGGCCCGCCTTGCCACGCCTCGCCTTGCTGCGCCTTGCCTCGCTCGAGCAATGTTTTAACCAAGCGTGCGCGGCGCTGAGGCCAGAGCCACACTTTGAAAACCACCCGCCCTCTATCTGTGAAACTGTTTCCAATGTCTGGGTTTCAAGCGCGTAGGTGGTAAGGAAATCTAGAGCGAAGCGCCTGGCCCGCCCTTCCGGCAGGCCTCGGGGTGCCACAGGGCGGAGGTGTTCATACGTTAGAGGAACTGAGGGAGGCAGGAGGCAGGAGGGGAGCGGAGGGAGGAGGAGGGACGAGAGGGAGAAGCAGGGACGAGGGAGGAGGTGTAGGGGTGGGGGGGGGGACGAGCAGGGTGGAGGGGGAAGCGAGGAGGGAGGATGAGGGTGAGGTGAGGACCTGGGCCCTCGCCTCGGCGATCCTGGGCACCAGCTGCCCCAGCCTGCGCATCACTAGCTCGTAGTCCTTCTCGTCGTACATGTCCTGCGCGATGCCCACGCAGCACTCGAGCGGCACTCCGCACCTTTCGGGTGTTCGTTCACGGGGGGTGGGGCATACAGGTGGGGTGAGGAAGCAAACGCGTGCACCTCTCGTGCGCCTTTGAGCCCACGGTGGCAGTTCATCCAGGGCCCTTGCAGGGCCGCGCTCCTGCCATCTTGGATCCCCCGCGCGGTGCCGTCCGCCCGAGCCTCTTGGATGCCCTCCTCGCGATCGAGATCGCCTCCCTCAGATTTGGGGGTCTTGGAAACGACGCCCTTGCGGCGCATGACCGTGAACACGAATGCGGGGGGGGAGAGTGCACGATGGGGGGCCACGACAGGGGGCGAAATGGAATACCTATTCGCTGGGCCCAACATCCCTCACTGGCTCACTGGGCGTTCGACTTACAAAGAGTCCGAACCGAACTGGTAACCGTGAACCGGCGGCTCCTGCAACCGAGCCGCTCGAACCGGAGCCCGAACCGGACCGGCTGAAACCGGACCGGGCGGTTCGAACCGAACCGGCCGGTCGAAACCGGCCCGAACGGCAAGCCCGAACCGGGTGGAACCGAACCGGGCCCCGGGACTCCCCACCGGCCCAAGAAAGCCCCCAGAAGAGCCCCGGTGCCGGCACCCCCCCCCCCGGTGCTGCACCCCCCCCCCCGGTGCTGGCACCCCCCCCCCGGTGCCGGCACCCCCCCCCCCGGGTGCCGGCCCCCCCTCCCGGCGCCGGCACCTCCCCCCCGGTGCCGGCCCCCCCCCCCCGGTGCTGGCGCCCCCCCCCCCCGGTGCCGGCACCCCCTCCCCGGTGCCGGCCCCCCCCCCCGGTGCCGGCACCCCCCCCCCCGGGTGCCGGCACCCCCCCCCCGGCAGGCCCCCCCCCCCCCGGTGCAGGCACCCCTCCTGGGACCACCGCTCGGGTTGTGAAGTGGTTGGTGTGGTTGTATTCCAGATAGGGTAGTTTGGTTGGAGTTGTGGAACCAGGTTGCTATCAGGATCGCATCCACTTTGCAACGTGGTTAGCGAGCAGTTGTTAACCTGGTTGTGTAAGTGCTCAACCTGGTTACAGGTTGGCGGGTGCCTGAAAATCTATGTTGCCGTTCGGTGAATTCTATATGGTGGAGCTCTACCCGCTGGTACTTTCCGCGGCGCTGGCCGTTGAAATTCTGCAACCAAAAAAGAGGAGAAGCACGATGAATGAGGACGAGGAGGGCGGGGGAGGGAGAGTGGCGAGCTGTTTTTCTGGGCAAGGGTAGAGCAGTTCAAACACATGGTGCTCGCGGTGGGACGCGGTATGTATCTTCGCGTCGGCTCGTGGTACCAGCACATCGGCTTGGTCGAGCTGGTGTCCCCATTGAGGGGGTGGCGGAGGACTAAAACCTGCGCGCCAGTAACTTTGGTGGGTGAAACCGAATGGGATGACCAGTCGGCACAGGCGACTCGTCATATTTGTAAGTGAAACGGATGAAAAAGAGAAGGAAGGAGGATGAGGAGGAGGAGGAAGATGAGGAGGATGAGCAGGAAACGGGTGGGAGGTCCGAGGGGTATATATAGAAGGAGGAGGAGGAGAAGGAGGACGAGAAGGAGGAGGAGGAGGAGGAGGAGGAGGAGGAGGAGGAGGAGGAGGAGGGAGGAGGATGAGGAGGAGGAGGAGGAGGAAAGGGAGGAGGAGGAGGAGGAGGAGGAGGAGGAGGAGGAAAGAGTGAGGAAGACCTGCGGCCTTGCCTTAGTCCGTGTTTGTCGTCTGTCGCCGTCGCCGTCGAGAGACCGTCAGATTTTGTTCCAATCCGAATCTCGGCGGATGGCTTGAAGCGAACGTATCGGCAGTGAAACGTTGGGTGTTCCCCAGAAACCTCATGTCGTCGCCGTCGTTCCTTCCGTCTCTGAGTCCTTAAGTTTCTGATCATCCTCAACCTCCTCTCCCTCGTTCATGGCAGGCTCGGCCTCGAAAGCAGCGAGGTCTCTAGCGATTCAATGCGCTTGACAGAAAAGCGACAGCACCCCTATGTCCGCAAATTGACAGCATTGATCATCCAGAGAGCAAGCGAGTCCATCCCGTTTCCCCGAGTAGGGTGAGGAGGTGTTGAGAGGTAGGGGAGGGAAGGATGAGGCGGAGGACGTGGAGGAGGCGGGAGGAGGAGGAGGAGAAGGAGGAGGAGGAGGGGGAGTTGTCCCATCTTCCACCCCCTCGTCTAGACGAGGTCTGAAGCACGCAGCTTAAGCTTCGGCGGGTACATCACTTGCGAAATCGACCCCGTCGAAGCTAGAAAAAAAAACACATGGCTCAAGTATGGCATCCGTCTGGATTATCTCAGGCGAATCCCGCGCAACACATTTAGCCGATGTGTCGCTATACTCACGGAGCTCCCATCTCGAGACAATCGAAACTGGAGCACCATTGATTTTTGCATGGAGGCGTACGTCTCCGAAAAAAAACCTGGCCCCCGATTGACAAAGCTACGCAATCGCCTATGTGGACCGCCCGACTGTGCACATAGACGGCATTTGAAACCACTATGTCAGAATTGGGGTCCAACAGCAATGCAGAGACCAGCTCATCCCTCACCTTCTTGCTGGTCGGCTTGGGGCTCAACAAATCAACTCCTACAACCCTGTGAGCACGCAGATCGTGTAAGTGTTGAACCGTACACTCCTCCACAACTGAGCGATCGAAGTTGCTGGTATTGTGTCGGCTCTGGGCGCTGCGCTTCAATGTTCTATGTTTCCTCTCCATCAAGAATGTGCTCAACAGGCGCTTCTGTCGCAGCAATTGGCGTGGAAGGTGGGTGACCCAATGGTCCTTGGGCTTCCACGCCAGTAGACCATACGCGGCCTCGCGCAGATGGAGATGCTTGATAATGCCAGCGCCCAAGTCTGATGCCTTGAGGTGGCCGCTGTTGGCTATACTCAACATGCCAATCACGTCACAGACTGCGATCATGCTCTCCGACTCTGGGATGCACACATTTTGTCGGCCTATCACAATGTCCGACGCAAACTTCGCAATGATGGGTGCGATGGAGATCTGTTCCGAAGCCGTCCCACTGAACCTGCCATCCGTGAAGCATTCACGCGCGTGGGCGTAGCCCTTTGGCCACTCCCATCTCCTGACGTATGCGTCCAATGCAGCGTAGCCGAGGTGGTAGTCCGATGTCTTCTGCACGTAGAGGTCAACCTCCCGTTCGAAGGCGCCTCCCACTAGATAGCAATGCATCCAGTCCCATGCGAATAGGTCAACCATGCTTACGTCCAGCTCATCGTCCTGAAGAAGCCCGTCGCGTTCGTATTTGAACCCGAGCAATATTTCAAGTCGTTCAAGCTCAGACTTGGTGCCAGCAGTTGCCTCGTGCCTGAGCTTCTTCTGGATCCCACGCAGCGACTCGTAGTGTGCAGGTGGTACTTTGACACATCATGGCATTTGGCTGATATGCAATATCCAGTGGCGTCTGGGAGAAGGGTCGAAGTCGGCAACACGACGTTCTGGCACAAACAGCACGGCTTAATCCCGCCAGCGCCCTTGCAATGTGTCATGAATTTGTGGGCGCGTTCGTCCTGTACCAAAATGGACAAAGAACCGCTCACCAAAACACGTTCACCTCCGATGTTCAAGTGCACACCGTGTCTCAAGTCTGCGCGCGATGGATACCCGAAAAACGCCTTCAGCGCCACTCTCGCAAGATTTGAGACTCCACCTGAAATCTGGTTCACCAACGAACTGCGAAGGGATGTCACCGTAAACCACAACAGTTCATTTGAAAGCAAAGGCCATCCGAATTCTTTGATGCTCCAGTAAAGAGCGTGAAACTTGCGCTTGTTCCGATTCGATAAGACATTGCCTGGCGTGACCTCGTCACTGTAAAGTATGATGGACAAGGTGCCGTGCTTGCGCACGGTCTCTAGCATCAATTCCTTGAACGACTCAGCCTCCGCGCACGCCCTCTCCAAGAAACCTAACGGGTGCTGAATCCACACAACCACAATGCCAGGATGTCTGGCATCTGTCGAAGGGAGCTCAACCATGAACAGCGTGGGCCCGAAAGACGTGGAACCTGTTGCGATTGCCCGTCGCTGTCTAGTCTGAGTGGAAGCAGAGAGCGCCTCGGGCAGACCCTCATCTCGAATCTGCTTGAGGACAGCTGCCAACGCAGCTTGCGTAAGGTGGGAATCTCTGCCAAAACTGGAAACACGCGGCCTCTTCTCGGGAGGAGGCATGGAGAAAACCTCAAGTTGCTGGAGCCAAAACGGCTATGGTCACACGGAGGAGGATGGAGCGGAGGAGGATGCAGGACGCGGCGGTGGATGGTGTATCAACGTCAATTGCCGACGCTTCGCGATGGCCCAGAGGGCCTCACATTCTCACCCTAGTGGAGCCGAGAATTCACCTCCTCCACGGCAAGGGCGCAAGGTCACGGTAGGAGACATCGGTTGCGGTTGACCATCCATGCTTTGCGATTTCGATTGGGTTTGGCTTCAGGCAGCGTGCGCACCAAAAACTTATGTTTAATGTGTGCTTTGATAACGTCGGGATCGCCCCTGGGCGGGTTGCAGGAAGGATTGCGGGCCAGGGTCAGAGGCACACGCAGCAGCATCAGCAGCATCAGCAGCATCAACAATGGTGTGATCCAAAGCTTGCGCTATGCGATGTGATGCTGCGCGATTGTAGGTCAAGCTTGCGCTATGCGATGCGATGCTATGCTTCATGTCCGAGAGTTACGTGCCTTGTTACACCACGTGCCCCCCATATAGCAACATGCCCCCTTCGATCACTTATTCTGACAGGACACCCCCTGCCCCCAGAGTACCCGAGGCTGGCCCTCTCGCGAGGATGTTGAGGAGGAGAGGTGATTCGAGTATCGCTGCGAGCACGGAAAACGCTCATCACCAGAGAGCCTTGCGGTTCGAAATCAACGCCAGGGTCCCGTCATCTAAAGCATGCTTCACGCATGGTTCTGAACGGAAAGGTGTATAGCACTGTGCACAGCAGACCCATGCTGGATTGATCGGTAATATACAGACTTTCCCCCTTGAACGTATTCAGACCTGA